GTCTAGTTCTATAGGCTACACAATAATGGGGAAGACTGCTGACTTGACAGTTGTCCAAAAGACGACCATCGACACCTTGCACAAGGAGGGCAAGACACAAAAGGTCATCGCTAAAGAGGCTGGCTGTTCACAGAGCTCAGTGTCCAAGCACATTAATAGAGAGGCGAAGGGAAGGAAAAGATGTGGTCGAAAAAAAGTGTACAAGCAAGAGAGATAACCGCACCCTGGAGAGGATTGTGAAACAAAACCCATTCAAAATTGTGGGGGAGATTCACAAAGAGTGGACTGCAGCTGGAGTGAGTGCTTCAAGAACCACCACACACAGACGTATGAAAGACATGGGTTTCTGCTGTCGCATTCCTTGTGTCAAGCCACTCTTGAACCACAGACAGCGTCAGAAGCGTCTTGCCTGGGCTAAAGAGAAACAGGACTGGTGAGTGGTCCAAAGTCATGTTCTCTGATGAAAGTAAATTTTGCATTTCCTTTGGAAATCAAGGTCCCAGAGTCTGGAGGAAAAGAAGAGAGGCACTTCATCCACGTTGCTTGAAGTCCAGTGTAAAGTTTCCACAGTCAGTGATGGTTTGGGGTGCCATGTCATCTGCTGGTGTTGGTCCATTGTGTTTTCTGAGGTCCAGGGTCAACGCAGCCACATACCAGGAAGTTTTAGAGCACTTCATGCTTCCTGCAGCTGACCAACTTTTTGGAGATGCAGATTTCATTTTCCAACAGGACTTGGCACCTGCACACAGTGCCAAAGCTACCAGTACCTGGTTGAAGGACCATGGTATCCCTGTTCTTAATTGGCCAGCAAACTCTCCTGACCTTAACCCCATAGAAAATCTATGGGGTATTGTGAAGAAGAAGATGCAATACACCAGACCCAACAATTCAGAAGAGCTAAAAGCCACTATTAGAGCAACCTGGGCTATCATAACACCTGAGCAGTGCCACAGACTGATCGACTCCATGCCACGCCGCATTGCTGCAGTAATACAGGCCAAAGGAGGCCCAACTAAATACTGAGTGCTGTACATGCTCATACTTTTCATGTTCATACTTTTCAGTTGGCCAACATTTCTATAAATCCTTTGTTTTTATTGGTCTTCAGTAATATTCTAATTTTCTGATATGATGAATTTGAGATTTTCATTTGTTGTCATTTGTAATCATCAAAATTAAACAAAATAAACATCTGAAATATTTGAGTTTGTATGTAATGTATGAATATAATATACAAGTTTCACTTTTTAAATGGAATTACTGAAATCAATCTACTTTTTCATGATATTCTAATTTTATGACCAGCACCTGTATTAGGAGCTACAAGCAAAAACCACATAATAAATGGACATTAAACAGGTGGTTACCTCTATCATTCTCAGATCATGTAGATCTTGTCTTATTCAGTTCTCCTGTTACTGACTCCTATTTTTTCACAAGGAACTTTCATATATATCCAAACTGAGCAGTAAAAAAGCACACCAAAAACTGGAAGTCTATGCTCATAAATCAAAACCATAAATCATCAAAACAAATTGAAATAACTCTACTTATAATAACTATCTGAAATATAAACTAAAGGTCACCTATCCATTCTAAAACATCTTTATACAAACCCTTGTTGATCCCTGGAGAACCAGCGTACCAGATTAGCGCATTACAAGGAGTTTTCAATCATTTTGCTACATTTTAACCCAGCGCCTTTTACTCATGCTCAACTCGTGGTCTTGTCTTACTTTTTATTACTGTTTTAACCTGGACACAAACCAAACATTTATCACAAGATCAGCCCGATCAGAATAAAATTAATTGATTAACACACTTACCATCACTCAGCGTAGCTCCTCATCAGTTGCCACAGGTTGTAAAAAACGAACTTCCACTTCTTCTTCTTCTTCTGTTTTAAAAGTGATGCGCTCTTCTTCCTCTTTGTCTTTTAATGGCAGCTGACATCCAAAAGGATCATTACCGCCCTTATTGTGGTGCGCTCTGTTCCTTATCTTTATGTTATCAGCAGCGCAACCAGCTACCGTAATACCTATTTTTGCGCGCAACAGCTCTACAGTAATAACAGTCTACACGCAACATTTTTCGCCTCGGTAAAATCGGGGACATTTCCGGGGACAGCTTTAGCCGGGGACAGGTGGTCCAAAACGGGGACAGTCCCCGGAAATCGGGGACGTCTGGTCACCCTAGTTTAGTGGTGCTTCAGCACCCCCCAAAAAAGGCCTTAAACACCCTATAGTTGTTATTGTTATTAAACCACATGCTTATAAATATATATCTGAATATCCATATTAGATTTTTAAGCCATATGATTTAGCTGTCCTGGAACATGAACATATCTAAATAATAAAGGACAACAGTTATGAGAGTTTTAGGCTACGTTCACACTGCAGGCCTTAATGCTCAATTCCGATTTTTTGGGGGAAATCCAATATTTTGCATTGCCATATACACTTCCAAATATATGTGACTTGTATGTGTTTTCCTGTGTAAACTGCATTCATACAGCTTATGTGTCCCGCATGCGCAGTAGAGGACGCAATAACATCATAAGCCAGTGTGCTCTGTGTTTACGGAAGTAAACATTGATGGTAGTAACGGAGCACATCTAGCAATCTTTCAAAACCTTAAAATAACCATCTTTTCAAGATGGTTATAAAAAAATACTGCTTTCCGCATCATTGTCCGCCATGGTGTTTTTCTTGCCGCTTGTGTGTAGCAAGACGCAGAATAGTGACCTATGTTGGTTACTAATTGCGTTCAGGTCGGATGAATGCGACCTGGCCATTTAGACACAGGTCATTTGAAAAGATTAGATTCGTATCAGATTTAGGACCACATAGCCAAGTGGCCTGGGTCGCATTGGAAAATATATCTGTGTTGCTCAGACTGCCATGAAAAGATCAGATCCAGGTCGGATGTGGGCAAAAAAAATACATTTGGGTCACTTAAGGCTGCAGGGTGAACGTGGCCTAAGATAACTGCTGTGGAGTAGGGGATTTCCGGTTGTTTGGAAATGACATTTCCCAGATCGATTGAGGTATTTTCATTATTCATATTATGAAGCAGCATACTTGCCTTTATAAAAGTGATCCCACTGCAGATGATAAATGTTTATCAATCAAGTTTCTTTGATCGCAAAATTTGTGTGCACAAACTGTCAGGGTTTGATTAAGGTTTGGAGGACCCAAATGCAGAGGCAGAGGTGGGTTCTTGTAGTTTTAATGGAGTGTTTGCAGGTAACAGAGACAGGAATCCAAAAATCCCACTTAAAAATGCAAGACAAATCCAGAACCATGGGGACATCAGGGAATACATGAACTAGGAGACGGGGAAAGACAAGAACCCAGCACTGAGGAACTGCATAGGGAGAGTATTTATGGCTGACTGAACAAAGGCAAGACTAACGAGCTGATTGGGAGCAGGTGTGAACAGTGGCTTCTAGAAAGGAGCTAGGGAAAAGGAGACCAACACAAACCTAAGAACTCAAATACATCCAGAAAACACAACAAAATAGCAATTTAACCAATTGTTAGAAATATTTTATTTATACTCTGTGTTTCATGGGTTGTGTTCTAATGAACTATTATGATGTATAATAAAGGTCATGCAACGGATGGGTTGTGAAAGAGGCCTGAACATCCTCTATCACATGCTGGGTTGTAAAACAGGCCTGAACAGCCTCTATCACATGTTTCTTCTAAACATGTGTTCTTGGAACAATTCAATTGTAAAACCACCACATGCTTTGTTTAACATATGTGCTGAGGTTTAAAGTAAGATCCTTTTGTTTCCCTTCCCCTTAGTTAAACCTCAGCTTGTGTAATTAGGGACGTCCCCTTTCTTCAATAAATAGCGAGGAGAAAGCTGAAGACTGCAGAGTGGGGTGGAGATTTGTAAACTCTGCAGTCTCTTCCTACTTTCATCGCGAGTAACTAAATAAAATGTCTCTGTGCCTTCTTTCTTTCCCTGTATGTATATATGATGTTTTAGGTGCTTAGACCTGACACCAATTAAAATATAAAACAAAGAAAAAAAAAATTAATGTGAAACTGAAAACTTAACAGAACCAACACCGTGACACAAACAAGTGATCTGATGTTCTGCAGTAGGTGGAAGGAGCAATCATATTGTTTAAAAGAAAAAAAGAAAACAAAGGATATTAATACTATTCACAAATGGACATTTTTGAAATTGAGCTTTGATGTCCTCTTAAACCATGCAGAGATGGGTGTGCTCGTCTTTTTACAAAAGGATCTTAAATATTACCTTTTTTTAAATAGATAATGAAAAGATTGATTTGACTCAACTGATTGTGGTTTAAAATGTGGTAAAGAATCCATAATTTTCAAGTTCCTATAAATAAAAATCTAAAGTTTTTTTACTTACTAGGACAAAGACCAATAGGTAATATCAAAGGAAAAAGCAGCTCTGACAACATCGTATGTGTGCAGGGCAGTGATTGCAGCAGCCCCATGATCAGTGTAATGAGTGTGGTCAGTGCTATTACCGTAATGATTTCACCTCTCTGGGGTCTTGTCCTGATGCTGACCTTTCACAGACACGCCCTGACAGGAAAACCCACATAACTCATATGAATAAATTAGAAGGTGATTTATTTGGAAGATCTGACAAACTCATGTTCATGAGAGCAGCTGAGCCCAGCAATATTTTCATAGGGAGAGGATTTACCTCACATGGACAGGAGGGTTTTCAAATTAAGTGTTTATTTTGCATGTCTGATTATGAGGAAAACTAATAAATACGGAAATGTAATACCATCCATCCATCCATCCATCCATAATGTGATGATACTCTGCAAATATCCATTCCTGCCATTCCCACCAGCTGACTGCTATTGACTGTTTTCTTGTTTTGAAACCAATGAAATCTATTTATATTCTTCTAACATGTATTTTTTCTTATCTTTCATCCCTCCTTTTTTACCTGTCCCATTCCCTTGTTTCTCCCCACTTTGTCTTTGCTCTCTGCAGGTATGCATTGTGCAAAAGAGGGATACAGAGAAGATGTACGCCATGAAGTACATGAACAAACAGCAGTGCATAGAGAGAGATGAGGTCCGAAACGTCTTTAGAGAGCTTGAGATCCTACAGGAAATTGAACATGTATTTTTAGTAAATCTCTGGTGACTATCCAATGTTTTTACAATTTCAGTGTGGTCTGCTGTTGCTTGCTTTATCTGTCTGTGTATTGTCCAGAGTGCATGCTTCCCCTCAGACCTTTTGCAGCCTTTGTGTGGAAGCACTGTTTGTGGATATTCATTGTGTAGATTGCATGCATTTGTTTAATCAAAACCTGAATTAAGTTTTTTTTTTTATATTCTCCAGAAACCAACAGCTATTAACTTCAGTTACAATTTACACAGGAGAGATATTTTAGGATATTAAATTTGACTCGGAGCCTATGAAGCGCACGTTTGATAATTACCACGCTTTGAAATGACCTTGCTACTCCCCGGAGCCTGATATGTGGGTGAATGCAGGCTGACTTCATTATTCAACACTGATTCTCAGGCGGGACACATTCCTAAATGTAATTGTGGAGCTGGCATTCACAGCATATTAGACAAAGCCCCGTACTCTGGTGTAATTGGGAGAATAGTTGAATTTTTCAGAGTATTCGCTGCCAGTAAATGTAGTAATTGACACATTCTGTGATGAACTGATTATCTGCAACTAGGAACAAAACAAATTAATGTGTTGACTTGCAGCCTCATAAAGTTTTGAGTGCTTTAAGTTTGATTTATTGGATGTTTTCCCTGGTAGAAAACTCCTCTGCATGTAGAAACTGAGGGCATTTTAATGAGCATATAGTAGTGGCTCCCTGTGTATATTTTTTATATAATTCCCTGTAGGAGTTTGTGGCTGCCAGAACCCTCTCTGTTCTAGTTTTCAATGTGCTGGGCTGCTCCACTCTCCCTCCATATTTTGCATCCAGCACTATTTTGAGTGCCCATTAGTGACAAACACACTGTCTTTGCAGCTATGTGGGAATTAGAAGTTTCACACCTCCTCTTCTTACTCATGAGATTCTCCAAAAAGTCTCTGTCCATCTCACCAGGGGAAAATAGCGACCAAGTATCAGCTTCCCTCCCACCAGCGGTGCTGTGCTAGCAGTTTGTTTTCTCTGTAGTTGGTACCTTTTAGCACTTTGCAGTACAGCCAAAAGAAAAAAAAAACAACCAACAAAACCTCTTAGGATTTCTACAAAGACTGGCAGCACACAGTTTGCATTTCCTGCTTTTGAGATGGCCTTTGTGTTTCAGTAGTGACAGGAATGTAGTTTAGGTTGAAGAATAATAATTTCTTTAAACATATATATATATATATATATATATATATATATATATATATATATATATATATATATATATATATATATATATATACACTATATTGCCAAAAGTATTTGCTCACCTGCCTTGACTCACATATGAGCTTAAGTGACATCCCGTTCCTAATCCATAGGGTTCAATATGACGTCGGTCCACCCTTTGCAGCTAGAACAGCTTCAACTCTTCTGGGAAGGCTGTCCACAAGGTTTAGGAGTGTGTTTATGGGAATTTTTGACCATTCTTCCAGAAGCGCATTTGTGAGGTCGCACACTGATGTTGGACGAGAAGGCCTGGCTCTCAGTCTCCGCTCTAATTCATCCCAAAGGTGTTCTATCGGGTTGAGGTCAGGACTCTGTGCAGGCCAGTCAAGTTCATCCACACCAGACTCTGTCATCCATGTCTTTATGGACCTTGCTTTGTGCACTGGTGCACAGTCATGTTGGAAGAGGAAGGGGCCAGCTCCAAACTGTTCCCACAAAGTTGGGAGCATGGAATTGTCCAAAATGTCTTGGTATGCTGAAGCATTCAGAGTTCCTTTCACTGGAACTAAGGGGCCAAGCCCAGCTCCTGAAAAACAACCCCACACCATAATCCCCCCTCCACCAAACTTTACACTTGGCACAATGCAGTCAGACAAGTACCGTTCTCCTGGCAACCGCCAAACCCAGACCCGTCCATCAGATTGCCAGATGGAGAAGCGCGATTCGTCACTCCAGAGAACGCGTCTCCACTGCTCTAGAGTCCAGTGGCGGCGTGCTTTACACCACCGCATCCGACGCTTTGCATTGCACTTGGTGATGTATGGCTTGGATGCAGCTGCTCGCCCATGGAAACCCATTCCATGAAGCTCTCTGCGCACTGTTCTTGAGCTACATGAAGTTTGGAGGTCTGTAGTGATTGACTCTGCAGAAAGTTGGCGACCTCTTCGCACTATGCGCGTCAGCATCCGCTGACCCCGCTCCGTCAGTTTACGTGGCCTACCACTTCGTGGCTGAGTTGCTGTCGTTCCCAAACACTTCCATTTTCTTATAATACAGCTGACAGTTGACTGTGGAATATTTAGGAGCGAGGAAATTTCACGACTGGATTTGTTGCACAGGTGGCATCCTATCACAGTTCCACGCTGGAATTCACTGAGCTCCTGAGAGCGACCCATTCTTTCACAAATGTTTGTAAAAACAGTCTGCATGCCTAGGTGCTTGAATTTATACACCTGTGGCCATGGAAGTGATTGGAACACCTGATTCCAATAATTTGGATGGGTGAGCAAATACTTTTGGCAATATAGTGTATATATATATATATATATATATATATATATATATATATATATATATATATATATATATATATATATATATATATATATATATATATATATATATATATAATTTTTTTTCCATATGTATGACATATCCCTTAAATTCATTCACTTGTGCTTCCATTTTACATAAAAACAGGATTGATGGTCATGAATCTTGCCTTAAAGCAACAGGTTGCTCTCGATTTTTTTTTACTTTTCTCTCTTCAAACAGGTGACTCATCCTATATTGTCTCCATATGTGTATTTTTTCAGTGAACTGCTCTGTTTTAATAGGTTAAAATGGAAGGTTAGAGGAAGTATTATTTATATATATATATATATATATATATATATATATATATATATATATATATATATATATATATATATATATATATATATATATATGTACATATATTTTTAAGGAAAGCTCTGTGTTTACACCTTGAAGCTTTCTCTGTCCGATTCTTTTCGTGAGAGGAGATCACTCGGCACAAACTCATTAAATAACATTTCATAAAATATATGTATTGAATAACCATGAAACATAAAAACAGATTTTGACAGAAATTGTAATCTTACTCAGACCAGAGATGTTGCTTAGGGTTACAGAAAGCAGCGCTTACCAACCAAGCTCACATCTAGTTAAAGATGACCCCGAATCACTGTTAAAGCAGCATTGTAAACAACTCGATCAGGCTACATCATCACACACTTACATCATGCACATTTGAAGATGAGGAGACCTCTATGGCTCCAGCCTTATCAAAATATTTCACTGCTATATGTTCTTAGATGAAGGACACTGCTCTGATTTCATTCCTAAATCTTTGCCATGTTTCAAATTAGATAGACTACTTGGAAAACATTAGTTCTGACACGCAAGAGGTAGGTATTACCGTATTTTCACGACCATAAGGCGCACCGTACTAAAAGGCGCAGTCTCAGTTATGTGTGCCATTTCTGTATTGAACACACACATAAGGCGCACCGGACTATAGGGCGCGTTTTTTATATACAGGTACATGTCCTCTACTACCTTTAAATACCTCTACTGCGTATTTAAAAATACAGCGGGGGCAAAACTGAGTATGACTGTGCTTTATTCAAGTATTTATTACAAAGTATTAATCAAACCTGGCAGCTGGCCGTGAGACAGACACATCGCAGATGACACAGCGCTGTGATCACTCCTAAATTAACTTAAAATCCTGAAACCTGCCGACGGAATATGTTCGCTTTTATGGGTGCCTGCAGTTTAAATTATTTACAGGTGCTGGTCATAAAATTAGAATATCATGAAAAAGTAGATTGATTTCAGTAATTCCATTTAAAAAGTGAAACTTGTATATTATATTCATACATTACATACAAACTCATATATTTCAGATGTTTATTTTGTTTAATTTTGATGATTACAAATGACAACAAATGAAAATCTCAAATTCATCATATCAGAAAATTAGAATATTACTGAAGACCAATAAAAACAAAGGATTTATAGAAATGTTGGCCAACTGAAAAGTATGAACATGAAAAGTATGAGCATGTACAGCACTCAGTATTTAGTTGGGCCTCCTTTGGCCTGTATTACTGCAGCAATGCGGCGTGGCATGGAGTCGATCAGTCTGTGGCACTGCTCAGGTGTTATGATAGCCCAGGTTGCTCTAATAGTGGCTTTTAGCTCTTCTGAATTGTTGGGTCTGGTGTATTGCATCTTCTTCTTCACAATACCCCATAGATTTTCTATGGGGTTAAGGTCAGGAGAGTTTGCTGGCCAATTAAGAACAGGGATACCATGGTCCTTCAACCAGGTACTGGTAGCTTTGGCACTGTGTGCAGGTGCCAAGTCCTGTTGGAAAATGAAATCTGCATCTCCAAAAAGATGGTCAGCTGCAGGAAGCATGAAGTGCTCTAAAACTTCCTGGTATGTGGCTGCGTTGACCCTAGACCTCAGAAAACACAATGGACCAACACCAGCAGATGACATGGCACCCCAAACCATCACTGACTGTGGAAACTTTACACTGGACTTCAAGCAACGTGGATGAAGTGCCTCTCTTCTTTTCCTCCAGACTCTGGGACCTTGATTTCCAAAGGAAATGCAAAATTTACTTTCATCAGAGAACATGACTTTGGACCACTCACCAGCAGTCCAGTCCTGTTTCTCTTTAGCCCAGGCAAGACGCTTCTGACGCTGTCTGTGGTTCAAGCGTGGCTTGACACAAGGAATGCGACAGCAGAAACCCATGTCTTTCATACGTCTGTGTGTTGGTTCTTGAAGCACTCACTCCAGCTGCAGTCCACTCTTTGTGAATCTCCCCCACATTTTTGAATGGGTTTTGTTTCACAATCCTCTCCAGGGTGCGGTTATCTCTCTTGCTTGTACACTTTTTTCGACCACATCTTTTCCTTCCCTTCGCCTCTCTATTAATGTGCTTGGACACTGAGCTCTGTGAACAGCCAGCCTCTTTAGCGATGACCTTTT